CAGCGGCGCGGCCGGGTGAGTGTGCGCGGGCCCGGGCGCGCCCCTGTGCCTGCGCGCGGGCTCGTGCAGCCGCGAGCCGAGATTTGAGTCGCGCGGGCCCGGTGCTGCGCGGCCGCCTGGGCGCTCTCTAGCCCGGGGTGGGCGCCGTGATCGCGCCTGGCTTCTTCCGGACGCCTTTGGGCCCCTTCCTCCGCGTGTTGTGCGTGGGAGCTGCTCTCGAGCGGCTTTTGGGAGCCGGTGGCCGGTGGGGGTGATTTCTTGGTGAAGGAGTCGCCCAGGCAGCAGACCCGGGACCGGGCTTGAGGGCGGCGACTGGGGCAAGACACATCTGCCCAAGGCCAAGGCCAGACGTGGTGGGACATCCCCTGCCTGGATGAGCCCGGTTCCGCTCTGGCTCGGACCCCGACTATCTCCTTGATCTTGGATGGTTCACTTTCATTTTCCTGGGTCTTAATAGCCTCATCTGTAAAATGGAGAGCTTGGACTCGCTGTTTCTCAAGGCCTTTTTACCCCAGAACTTCTGTGACAGGCCCTCTTAGGGCCTCTTATTGGGACTTTCCAGTTTAACAAAAACAAAACCTGACTTGTAAAAACTAGGATCTTTCTTTCTCTCCCAACCTCCGCTCCCCTCCCCCGCCCCCCATACCTTCCCCAAAGCTCAGTGAAGCGCCCGGTTCCTGGGAAGGCTGGGCACTCAGTGTCTGGAGAAATGGAGACCTTTGCTCAGCAGGACGTAAGGACATATTCCTTTGCAGGGACTTACCACTAAGCTAAAAAAGATGGATAACCGGAAGGTCTGGTTAAATGCAGAGTCAGCGAAGGGAACTAAAACTCCAAGAAGCTGGGGAGTAGATGACCAGTTAGTTGCAGGAGCCGCAGGGCTGTGCTCACTGTGGTTGTGCCTCCACCCTGGTGTCTGTCTGTCCTCCTCTCCTGCCCCCCATAGGACTGGTGCAGTGCTGGGTAGGGTCCTAGGCCCAGGGCACACTGAAAGGTCATCATTGGTCAGTGTCTGCCCTTGGCCAGTCTTGCTAAACACCCCTCCTGCCCTTTGCAGCCTCCAGGTTGGACAAGGGGCTGTAGGGCGAGTGCAGAGGCTGGCTGCGCTGATTGGGCCCATCCTGGCCTCGGCTGTCCCTTTCCCTACTTGGCAGTCCCTGCCCTCACCTGCACTTTGCTAAGCCTTTCTACCGTCCCTCTAACTGCCCTGCGTGGTCATTGTCTGTTTCTTATTTCTCTTTCTCTGAGTTTGTCTTTTCCATCAGATGGTGGCCCCCAGCAGGGAGGGTTGAAGAGGGATTTAAGATTAAATTTCTGGTTTTATAGTCGAGAAAGCATGGCACCTGGCACTAGAAGTTTCTTAGGGAATACCTGTGGAGTAAAAATAAGGACAGCTTTATTCCTTTCAGTCATTCGTATTTACCCAGCCTTGCTCTGAATGATTCACATGGATGAACTCTAAGCCTTACAACAACTTAAAGTTATCATGATTGTCTCCATTTACATGCAAAGACACCGAGGCTGAGAGAAGTTAAGTAATTTGCTCCAGGTCACACAGGTGGAACGGAAAGTGGGAGGACTGTGCAGGTTACTTTTAGCCATTGCACTGAAACAGCCTTCAGTGGAAAATGTATCTAAGGACTGTATTTTCCTGGTGGGCCTAGGAGGTGATCAGATGAGGCAGGAAAGGGCTGCAGTGATTGCCAAGTACAGGGCAGATATCCTTGGACTGTTGTTGCTTTCATGCCTCTGCCGGGGTGGGGGTGGGGGAGGACAAAATAAGAGGAAGGAAGTAAGGGGTGATATGATTGACTGGTAAATGCTCAACAATGTTTGGGAGTGCCTGGTGTGGGCCAGGCCTTGGGCTGGGTGACGAGGAGATGGTCCCTGCCCTCCAGCGCCCCTCCCAGAGCATAGCATCTCAGATACCGACTGGAATTTGTCGCTGGATCACACCTGGGAAATGTCTCCCTCGACCTTCTCTCTCTCTCTCCGTCTCTCTCTCTCTTTCTTTTTTAAAGGTGGTGTAAGGAACAGGCCCAGAGGCAGCCAGACCTGGGTCCCCAGGCTCAAGGGCATGGGAGTGATGGGCTTGGACTCGAGCCAGATGGCCTGGGTTTACCTCCTGGCTCCACAGCTTCTGGCCACCTTACATTGGGCAGGTCCCTGCACACCACTGACCTTCAGTTTTCTCTCCTGTGAAATGAGGAAAACCTGTGAGGAAAGGGACCTGGTTGGTGAGCAGGGTGTTGAATGTGACACATATATTTCCTTCTATTATCCCCATAGCAGCTATGCCAGGCAGGCCTCCCTGAACCCATTTTACAGATTAGGACAGCAAGGCTCAGGGTGTTAAATACCTTGGTAGTGAATGTCACAGCCCATGGGAGCAGCTGAGCAGATAGATATTCAAGTCCAGGCTCCTTGGTATTAAACTCCTCGCCCTTTTCCTAACATTTTGCTGCTTTCTCGCCTTAAAGCCTGATACAGGGCAGGCATGTGATACTTGTTAGTGAAAGACTCATTTTTGTATATTCTTGGTTGGTGGAGGGGGCTCCCAAGTGATCTTCTGTAACATAAAGTCAGGGCCAGCTCAGGTGCATGCAATCTGTTGAGTCACACAGAGCCTCCCATTTAGGAAGCACCATCTTGACAAGCACCTTGTCCGCTGTCACCATCTTGAAATTCTTTATTTTTGAACAAGGGACCCCACATTTTCAGTTTGCACTGGCCCCCACAAATAATGCAGCTGGTCCTTTTTAAAGGACCGAGAGAAGAGGAAGGTGGTGAGGGAGTCAGGTTCCCCACTTGGGGTACCTGAGAAGTGGCAGGCAGTCCTCAGGCCAGCTTGGACTCAAGCAGGTGTGTGCCGACCGGACACTTCCTGTCTTCATCAGCATCGAGAACCGTGGCAGCAAAAGATGATTTTTAGAGGATTTAAAAAACGTTTCCTTTAGCAAGGCTGGTTTGTCATCCCAGGGACTTCGCCACGGTTTTCCTTGTGGGGGCTGATTCTCAGGCTCCAGGTGGACACCTCACAGATAAAGTGTGCAGGTTCCAGCCAGAGCGGATGGCACCGGAAACTGCTTTGTCATTCAAGGAAAGACCCACAAAGGGCATCTCTGCTCTTGTTTACAAAGTGGCTAAGGGTCATGTCTGCTGTGCTGTCATTGACCCTGCTCCCGAGGCTTTGAAAGCATTTCCAAGGTCTTTTCGAGCTAAGCGCCAGGAGGGTGCATTGCTCCCCACGCCCTTGGTTTTCTTTTCTCCTTATAGATAACAGGAACTATTTAACGGACAGCATTTCCATTTTAGCTTTGGCTACCAGGAAGCTCAAAACCAAATTCTTGGCTCAGGCACAACCTTGGCTTGTCAAATCTCAAAAGAGCAGCAACTAGAGATAGTTTTATGTCATGTGTCCTTTGTTCCAGATGCTGCTGTCCGTCCTTTATGTGTATCATCCCTTCGTTTCTTTGTGCAGCAACCCTGTGGGAAGGTACCACTATTTAAATAGAGCAAAGCTGAAGCTCTTTGACATTAAACCACTTCCCCAAGTTTACATGATTCATAGGTTGTACAACTGACTTTTTTTTTCCTTTCTTTTTATTGGGGAAGGGAACAGCATTGGGGAATTGGGGAAGGGGAACAGACAAGTTGCTGTCCTTTTGTTCTTCAGTCTAGTTGTGGAGGACGTTGCCTCACTGGCCCATGTTGATATTATCATTGCACTCTTCCTGGCTGAGGCAGATTGGTCGCCAGCCATTGGATGGCCACTCACACCGGCTGCTGGCCACTTACGGTAGCTTACGGCAGCTGACTGCAGGCCCACTGCAGCCCACGCCGTTGCCGGCGACTCACGGCAGCCCAGCTCCAGGTCCAGCTGTTGTTCACCATCTTAGCTGTAGAGGGCGCAGCGTCACTGGCCCATGTGGGATCCGAACCTGCGGCCCTGCTGCTCAGAGCTGGCATCCCAAGGCAACTCCCAACCAAGGCGCCACTCAGCCGACCCTTACATTTTTTAAAATATATCTTTTCTACTATCCTGATTTATTTTCATTTGTATTTTGCAATGTCGTCTGGGAAGCTACCTGAGATCCTTTGTGTAAAAGTCTCCCCATGATGAATGTACCTGTCCTGCCCTTAGTAAAGGAATGGAAATTTCACATGCCTGGAAGTGAGACTTGGGTAGATCCTGGGTTCCCTTTGGGTCCCTGGATGTGTCTGAGCTGGAGAAGACCCAAGACCAGAAGGGAAGTTCTGATTTGAGGTCTTGGGAGGGTTTTAGTTCCTTCTCGCTCCTGAGAACGTTCCTCAGCATGACCAGAAAGACCAAAGTCAGCAGAAAGACTCCGGGTGTGTTCCACCAGGCCTTGTGATGACTGGCTTAGGAGAGCCCAGGGAGCCCAGCTTGTCAGGCTCAGGCCTGAAGTTTTTTCTTTGCTGTTTTCTGAAGGCAGGTGCAGCTAATCTGGGTGCCCCAGAATGAACCACAGCCCTGAGAAGGGGAAGTAGACACCTAGCTGGCTCTTGGCTATGGCCTGTGAACCGCAGATGGACCCAGGTGGGGCGGCTGGCCCCTTGTCCACCTCCTCCGCTGGTTGGAGCGCCTTGCCGGTGGGGAGCCCTCCTGGCTGGGGGCAAGGTAAGGTCATGGCCCTGAATTCCTTTTCCTGCTACTGCCCCCAGGATACTGAGCTGTACTCACATAGTGTGAAGAAGGAGAACGGGTGGGCACAGAAGTGCTTTTAGATAAGGGCGGGCATTTTGGGATTTGTTTCCAGGCAATTTTTTGTCATTTCTACCTGTTCTGTCTGTCTCTGCCTCCTTAAATCGAGCCACCATCACCCTCTGCTTTGATCCCTGCTGTAGCTTCCTAGCTGATCTCTTCTCCTTGCCTCTTCCATCCATTCTCCACCTAGCATCCAGAGGGATCTTTTTTAAATTCACAAGCAACTGTGTCACTTTCTGCTTCAGTGTTTCCTATTGAGCTTGGCACACAGTTCCATCATTCACCAGCTTGCACGGCCTGTCTTAATGACTCCGGCTGCCGCTGTTCTGGGTTTCTGCCATGCTGTCCTGCCTCAGGGCCTTTGCATCTGCTGTTCTTTTTTCTGCCTGTTACGCTCTTTTCCTGCCTCTTTTCCCCTGCGTAATATACATTCATCTTCAGAGTTTAGTTCAGATATCCCTTCCATGGGAATCCTCTCCTGATGGCCCAGCCTAAGTCAGGATCCTCTGATATAGCCCTACTTCTCCCCCATAGCACCTATCACAGTCTGTAATTAAATAATTACCTGCGTAATAAAGTGTTAAATGTCCAGTTTCCCTACTAGAATGTAAACTTTAGAAGGGCAGAGGCTCTGTTTGTGTTGTGCCTCTCTGTGTTGAACCAAGGCGTAGTACCTGCACAGAGCTTGGGCCATAGTAGATGCTCAATAAGTATTTTGTTGAATGAATGAATGAATAAATGAATGGCTGGGAATAGACAAGGGGAGACAGCATTCTAAATTGTGGGATCCATCGAAATGTGGCTGGTTACTCAACTACTTAAAAACAAGGATTTCTTTTATTACTACTGCTATTAGGAAAGCAAACACACACACACACACACACACAGAGTAGAATAAAATGGAATGAAATAATTTTTCTTCAGAACTTTGAAGACATTGCTCCATTGATTTTTGGCAGGCCAGTTCTTATTCCTTTGCAGGAAATTGCTCCCCACTCCACACACACACACTCATTCATTCTCTCTCTCTCTCTGTCTCTGTCTCTGTCTCTCTCTCTCTCTCTCTCTCTCTCTCTCTCTCTCTCTCGTACTTCTTTGGTAGCTTTTCAGATCTTTCCCTCTAATCTAAGTGTTAAAAACAAGTATGTCTAAATGGAGGACTTGCTATTCTCACTCAGAGGAACAGATGAGAGAGATGATTGCCAAGAACCCAGGAACCCGTGGTTCAGAAGGCAGACAAAGACACTGGAGAGTGCATTGCTGGGGCAGACACTTCGCTCAATGTGCAGAGAGCCAGCTTTGGGGGCGGTGCGTGTCACAGGCTCCATGGCCGGAGTCCACACCTACATGGGCTTGCCATTTAGTGCTGTGAGATGGAGAGCGAGCCTGGGCCCCATCCAGCATGATGGCCTGCATCTTGAGCATTTACCTTTTCTCCTTGCTTTTTCTTGCGTTCATTTCCCCTGGTAACATTGGGCAAGTTTGTTAGCCTTTCAGAGGCTTGTTCCTTTTCCATGATGTGTGTGGCGTCCACCTCTTAGGGCTCTTGGAGGATTAAATGAAATCATGACCTGAAGCCTAAGCCCCGTGCCTGGTGCATAGTGAGGGCTCAGTTCCCGGAAGTTATTCTTTATTTTATTTTGTTTTATTTCGGCTTCTATTTTCTTTTTTGTCTCGTTTCCCTCATTTGCTTCGTTTTAAATCTAATTGTATAATTTTATTTTTTCATATTTTTAGGAAGTCACCTTAGATCCTCCTTCTCTACGTAACTTTTGAGCTCTGACACGCTTGCTTTTAAGTTACGACAATAGTGGCCAGCTAGTCACCCATTTTGTGGCAACCGCTTTATTTCCATGGTCTTAATGATTTGAAAAGTTTTCTGCAGTGGATGTGACCATCCTCTAAGTGGCTGGCCAGGGACTTAGATTGTTTCTTCAAGGTTACTCTGTTACTGAGAGGCAGAGTGACAGTTTGCACCCCAGACTAGCTAGTTTATGCTTCTGTCCAGAGTCTGTACTCAGGACTGAAGGTGGGTTTGGCCTCGTTCTGCCGCCGCATCTGCCTGGGCCAGACTTTAGGGAATTTCAGCCCGGATCTCTCAGGCCAGCTGGCCTCAGGCTCACAGCCTGACTTCATCACAGCCTCGCAGGGCAAGAGTTTTGATAGTTGTTGTGATCAGCCGAGGTGGATGTGGTGTGTTTTCTGGGGTAACACCTAACTCACTTTTACTTTTAAAATGTTGAGTGAGTTGCCGAGACACTGGGAGGGGTGACCAGTCAGTCAGTATATGAGTTTTCTATAGTTGCTGTAACAAATTACCACTGACATAGTGGCTTGCAAAACACAAACTCATGCTTTCCCAGTTCTGTAGGTTAGACGTCGGATCCTGGCCTCACTGAATGAAAATCATCTCGGTGTCGGCGAGCTGCATTCTTTCAGGAGGCTCAGGGGAGAATCTGTTTCCTTTCCTTTTCCAGCTTCCAAAGGCTGTCCACATTCCTTGGCTCATGAACCTCCCTCCATCCTCAGAGCTAGCAGTGATTCCTCTCTGTGCTTTTCTTCCACAATCCCTCCTGACTTCTGCTGCTTCCCTCTTCCACTTTTAAGGATCCTTGTGATTACATTGGGCTCACCCAGATAATCCAAGGTAATCTCCCTATATACAGCCAGCTGATCAGCAACTTTACTTCCATCTGCAACCTTACTTCTCCTTTGCCATGGACCGCAACGTATGCACAGGTTCTGGGGAGTAGGGCAGGGCATCTTTGGGGGTCCATTGCTCTGCCTGCCACAGTCGGTTATCTCTTACTTAGACTCTGAGCCCCCTGGGAATGGAAGAGTTACTTGGTTAAGCAGTGCAATAATAAATGTTTATTACGTGATCTCCTCCATGTAGTTAATTGTTCATTCTCTGTTTAAATATCCCTTGTGATGGGGAGCTCACTACCTCCCATTCTCTGTGTAGACAGCTCTTATTTTGGGTTCTTTCTTATATTGTCTTGCATTGTGTCCTAATCGCCTCCGTGATCTGGCCTTAGTTCTGCCTTCTGGGGGGCTTTCCTGTCAAGTCCAGTTCTTCTTTAGGGATTTGAGGACAGCTACTCGGTCCCTCCTTGCATGACAAGGTGCTTGTGGCCAGAGGAGGTGATGCCGTCAGGCTCTGGGCTCATCCAAAGTAGTTATTGCTCAGCCAGGTGAAGCTTCAGGTCGGTCTGCTTTCAGAGCTCCGCAATGGCCAGGTCCTCACAGTTCTCCGGATTGACAATACCTGTGCACCCATCTCCTTTGACCTGGGAGCCGCAGAAGAGCAGCTACAGACCTGGGGCATTCAGGTGAGTGCTGATTTTATTGAGTCCTTACCATTTTTCCTTCCATCCCTCTATCTACCTGTCTGTCCATCTATCCTTTCATCCAGCTATTCACAAAATATTTATTAAACACTTACCATGTGCTTGATATGGTAGGGGATAGAAGGAAGATGTATTAGAACTATGCTCTCTTCCCAATGAGCTCGCTGAACAGATGTGTGTTTTGGGTGCCCACTCCGTGCCAGGCACGTAGCTGGGCTCTAAGCGCTGCAGAGGTGAATGGGCCCCAGAACCTGTGCGCACAGAGCCCAGTGGGGGAGATGGCTGTGCGTCGGCTAAATCAGACAACAAGAGATAAATGCTGCAGTAGAGGACTCTAAGGCATTGCAGACCTCCCCAGGAAAACATGATAAACCTTCCTGGGCAGGGGCACTGGTGGTGAAAGCTTTGCAGAGGAGCAAATACTTGATCTGGAACCTTGAAGGAAAAATAGGTGTTTTCTGGGTAGACAGGAGGAAGGGCATTTAGGAGAGGAAGAGGTCCATGTATTCAGTGGCTGATAATGCAGTACCTTCGAGCATAGTGACTTGAGGCATAGGCTTCATAGAGCCACTGTTCTGGAAGCAGGTCTAGCTCTCTCGCCCATTGTCTGTGTGACTTCAGGCTGGTGATGTAACCTCTCTGAGGCCCAGTATCATCATCTGTAAAATGAAGGCAATAGTAATACCTTTGACTCAGGGTTTTTCTGAGGATTAAGTGAACTAATGCTTGAGGAACACGTGTACTATCTCTGGGACATAGCAAATGTTCAAAAAATTGTAGCTGTTGCTGTTTTTCTTAAATACCCACAGATGTGGTTCTCTCTCCAAAGCCCCCAGCGTGATTAGGCCTTGCCCTGCACTGCCCGGGGAGGGTTCATTACAGATGGGGAAGATACACTTCTAATTTTACCCTGAAGATTTTAGAGTTTGTCTTTTTAAACTGAATTGCATTATTGTTTAAAACAACATTTTATCCCCATGCAAGGGAAACTTCCCAAATTGATAGGACTAAGCCCGCATCAGCATAACAGCTGGTTGATCTCCCCCAGCTTCCTTTCAGCCTTTGTTCAGAGCAGCACTTTTCTTAAATAGTTGTCTTCAGCGAACGGTTGACATACTGTTCTACACGCTCCTAAGTAGCGTCTTTAATGGTTCAATTCCGTTTTCTTACGCAGTCCACTCCCGTAGGGCCTTTCTGTGCTGCGACGCTTTTGTTCGGGCAGGCAGATGTGAGTTTTCGTTCAGCACTTTGGACTGTATTAATAGTTAACTGATATTGCAGTATTGATAATAGCACTTGTGTACCAAGTGCTCACTGTGAGACCAGCACTGGGCCGGTTTACACGTACATTTAGATACGCATATCTATCCCAGTAAAATATAACCAGCTGTGGTAGGCAGAACAATGGCCAAATAAGTGTGTTCATATTGTACATATACTTACTGTATAATGCACATATAAGTATTACACCTGTGTTATCTTATTTCAACGCATGCCGCCCCTATTAGCTGGGTACTCTTGTTATCCTCATTTACAGAGGAGGAAACAGGCTCAGACGAGTGGAGTTACTTTCTCCAGTTCGCACAGCACGTGAGTGGCAGGGCCAACGTTTGGACCCAGGGCTGGCCGACTCCCGGGCCTGTGCCTTAACCGTTAGGCTGTCCTGGGTCTGCTGTGAGGTACTGAGCCTTGGGCAGCGGGGATCCCTCTGCGGGATGTCCTCCTGGATGTCGCGCTGTCCCACCGCCCCCGTGACGCCTGACCTTCCCTGAGTGGAAAGCTGCGCCCTGTGGTCGCCATCGGTGCCCTGAGCTCTTCATTCTGCCTTCTGGTCCAGCCCAGAGTGCGCCTGATCCCCCTTCCCCATGACAATGACTGCTGACCATGGGAACTGGACATGACATCTTGCTGTCAGGAAGGAGGTGGGGAGGGACCCTCTGTGGCTGATAGATCTCTTTCCATGGGTGGCCGAGCAGGTCCCGGCTGACCAGTACAGAAGCTTGGCGGAGAGCGCCCTCTTGGAACCCCAAGTGAGAAGATACATCATCTACAACTCGAGGCCTATGCGGCTGGCTTTTGCTGTGGTAAGGAGGAGGTGGGCCCCTGCTGTGGCCCCCTGTGGCACTGCTGCATTGGGCATCGTGGCCTGGAGCCTGTTGGTGCGTGTAAAGGTTTGGGGGCTGGTGGCCTGACTCCTGGAAGAGGGCAGTGCAGGTGGACCTGGATTTGGTATAAGAAGGCATTTATGGCAGAGAGGTGTAACAAGGTGCCCAGGTAAAGGGTGGGAGGCAGGGTTTACTGAGGACAGAACTCGGGATTGGGGATCTGTAGACCCACCACTGAGGCTCTGGACTTAGTGTCTGGCTTTGGTCAAGACTTCTCCTCTCTGGGATGTGGTTTCTCCATCTGTTCAACACATGGGTCCATTGCAGCTCTAATCGTGTGTGTGTGTGTGTGTGTGTGTGTGTGTGTGTGTGTACAAACATGTATGCATACACATATAAACATACATATATGGCAGAGCCAGCATTTGAACCCAGCCAGCCTGGTTTCAGCATCTGTGCTCTTACCCACTGATTTTCTGCTCTGGATGGATAAATGGGCAAATAGCACTCCTGATACCCCACGTCCCGCTTCTCAGAAAGGGAAAAGGATGGCAACTGGCTTGTATGGACTTTTTAATATGGGCGAGCCTGTTACATATGTTATGTTACTCACTCTTATATCAACCATGTGAAGTAGGCATTATCCCCATTTTACAGATGAGGAAACCGAGGCTCAGAGAGTTGTTATAACTTGTCCAGGCCCCATAACTATGGAAGGACCCATGTGGGCTTCTGTCTCAGATTTCTTTCCCTCCCAAACCCCCTGCCCTTTTCCTGCTTTATTGAAAATCAGGGCAAGCAGGGATTCGGAGTAACTACTCTAATCCCGTTCCTCTACCTTCACTTAGGAGCAGGGGGCAAGGGCTCCCTCTCACAGGCCCCCATCAGTCTCTTCTCACAGGCCCTGTGAGCTCTGTGAACCCAGGGAGGTGTCAGAAGTGTCCAAGCGTGTCCCTTGAGTGGAGCTGCCCCCCTCGAGGACTGGCGTTGCTGACCATGCTCTCGCCCCGTCTTCTCGCAGGTTTTCTACGTGGTGGTGTGGGCCAACATCTACTCGACCAGCCAGATGTTTGCCCTGGGGAACCACTGGGTGGGCGTGCTGCTCGTGACCCTGGCCGCGGTCAGCCTGACCCTGACTCTCATGCTCATCTTCGAGAGACATCAGAGGAAGGTGAGACATCTGGAGACCCCAGCCACATTCCCTCCAAAAGGGCTGTGTGGGCAGGAGGATCCCAAATCAGATTTTCCTCTCTTAACCTCCATCAAGGAATTGCTCCAACCATGAAAATGTACACTTGCCCATGTGCCCAGTGACTGAAAGAAATCAAATCACATGTGTGATTAAACCTTCTCTCCCTTTCCTATCTAATCCCTGCAGGGTGTTTTTCTGGAAGCAAGCTGTGTTTTGAGAGAGCCTGGGAGCGGGGAGGGGGGCCCTGATAGCCAGTATTTGTGTGTACAGCACTTTGAGCTCACTGAACCCTTTCATGCACCGTCTCTTGTGGATGCTCACAAGAGGCCCTGAGTGAGGAGGGGTTACTGAGCACAGGTGCCTGAGGCTGAAGGGTGGGGGAGGTGAGCAGGCCCTGACCCGGGGCTCTGTTGTCAATCCTGTCTCATTGAACCCCTGCAACCACCTGGGCTGCAGAAAGCAGGTAGTCCGAGGGGTTAGATATCCTGGCCCATCCCAGTGTGAGTGGCAGAGCAGGGGCTCAAAGCCTGAGTGTCCGATTCCCGATCTCATTCACAAAGGAGACTGATACCTTCTGGCTTATATGTGGTTCACTAATTCTGCTTCTTCATTGTCTGCCTTTTGTTACTTACTGAGTACTTCATATGTGGTGGGTCTATTAAATGCTTTCCATATGTTAACTCATTAGCCCCCCCCCCCCCCCCCCCCCCCAGTAAATCTCTGGGTAGAGTCTTTCACGCTCATTTTACAGATGAGGAATCCAGGCTCCAAAAGGCTCAAGGACGAGTCCAAGGTCATGCTGCTAATAAATGGTGGAGCTGGAATTCAAGGCCAGGATGCTTCGATTCCAAGCCACGTCCTCAGTCAATACCTGACGGTCTTGGTATTCCAGCGCTGCTGTAACAGATCACCACAAACTCAGTGGCTGAAAAGAACACCAGTTTATTACCTTACAGTTCTGCAGTTTAGGAGGTTCACACAGCAGGGCTGCATCTTCTCTGCAGCCTCGCGGGGAGAATCTGTGTCCTTGCCTTTTCTAGCTCCTGGAGGCCACCTGCGTTTCTTGGCTTGCGTTCCCTTCCTCCACCTTCAAAGCCAGCAGTGGCAGCCCGAGTCCTTCGCATATCTTTTCCTCTGAATATTCTGCCTCCCTCTTCCGTTTGTAAGGCCCCTTGAGATTGTACTGGGCAGTTCAGATGATCTGGGACAGTTTCCCTATTTTAAGGCTAGCTAGTTAACAACAGTAATTCCACCTACAACCTTCATTTCCCTCTGCCATGTAATGTAACATAGTCACAGGTTTAGGGGAGTAGGATTTGGACATCTTGCAGGGGCCCTGTCCTGCCTATCACACCTCTGCCGTCTTTCTGGTGCTTAGGAGGCTCCCCCAGCACCCGGCTTAGAGTGGACTTGGAGATCTTTAGCAAACACTCTGCACTTGCTTACCCAGGAGGAGAGGGTGGGATGTTGGGAAGTGTGGACAGGGTTTGGGGCATGAGTTCCATTTAGGGCCTGTGCACACAGGAACGAATAGGAACTTTATGGCTTAATCATCCTGAAAAGATTATTGTTGGGCTTTGTGACAAGGCTGACAAAATACTGCTGCCTTGGGCTCTGTTGAAGCTTTCATGGCCCTTGTGCTTGGCCTATAAAAATTAAATTGAGCTGGCTGCTCCTGCAGCAAGAAGCTTCTCTTGGGGAAGGGGGGAAAGCAAAGTATATTCTGCTTTAGCAGGAGCTAAATATCTGGCACCTGGCAGGTGCTTCAAGGAGCAGGTGTCATGCAGTTTGGGGAATGCCTGCTGTGGCTGGCTGCCGTCTTTTCTCCCTTCCTTGTTCAGCTGGTATTTATGAAGCCCCTGCAAGTACCAGATAATGTGCCAAGCACAGGGCACAGAGGTGAACAAGACCTTGTGTCTTTACCCATAGGTGCAGCATGGAGGCCCCAGGTACGCAGTAACACTTCTGTGATCACTGTTTGCTCATTCAGGAAACCTCTCCAGGGTCCTTTCCTTCCTAGTAATGACTACCATTTAATGAACACCTACTATACGCTTTGTGTTTGGAGTCTGATATCTATGCCCAACAACAGCCTGACAAGGAGGCAGGATACCTCTGTCATTTGCTAGCTCTGCAAACCCGTGGTAAGTTATTACTTAACCTCTCGGGGTCTTAGTTTTCTCATCTGTGAAATGGGATAATAATTGTAGCTCCTCATAGCATTGTTTGGAGAATTAAATGACTTAATACATGCAAAGTACTTATAATTGTACCTGGTGTAAAGCAAATGCTCAATAAATATTAACTATTACGATTATTGGCTTGGCCAGTGGGAAATCCAAAGCTCAGAGAGGTTAAGTAACCAGTCTGTGGTCACACAGCTTCGTCAGGTCTTGCCTCAGCTCAAGGACTTCCTCCTCTTTGGATGCCTTATCACTCAGGACCATGCAGGTTGCCCTTCCTGACCCTTGTTACTGTTAATGTCCTACCTGCATCACATAGCATCTTTGAGCGCCTCACCATTTTGCACACACTGCCTTATTTTCCCCTTGTTTGGGGCATTAATAGCCTTTCTCAAAATTGGAAGGTGTGTTGCGGCAGGAAGGAGGACCCTGCCTTGTATCTGCTATAGAGTAAAGCACATTGCCAGGGCACGTAGGAATAGTCCTAAAAATATTTGTTTGTGGCCAACATGATACAGTGAAAAACACGATGATTTCAATTCAGTATTATAGTAATGATAATCATTACCTGACATGTATTGAGTGTTTATTTTTCCAAGTGTTCTTCTATGTGGATGAACTCATTTTGTCCTTGTTATATAATCCCTATTATAAGGGGGTATTATTATCTCCAATTTGGGGGTGAGGAGATGGAGGCAGAGAGACAGTGAGCAATTTGCCCAGGGTTATATAGGTAGTGAGAGACGGAGTCGTGATTTGAACTTTTGGTAATACAGGTTTCTGAAAGGGTGAACAACCCTTACGGACGCTCTAGGCAAAACAAAATATAATCATCCCTTGATTTTCATAGTAGTGGCTTTCATGGAAAATTCAGTATATTTTAAACGCATTTAAAAAAACCACTTTAGGTTTACATGAGAAATGGAGTTAGGTTAGCCAGTCAGATAATTGTAAGTAGATTTTTCACCTGCATTCCCACCCAGTGGGGCATTTGGAGTCTAGGTAAGCTAAGCTGGGGGACGGTTCCTCTGCATGTGGGATTGTCTCTCATGGGACATGGCCTTCCGTGGAAGGTATATGAGAGTACATTTAGCATCCCTGGTCCTTGTCCCTAAGTGCCAGCTTTTTCCATCCCATCCCTGTGACAACCAAAAGGGCCTTCTCATATTTTTGAAAGCTCCCTGCAGGGATCCTGATCTTTTGGGAACCATTGTCCTTGATTGGGCTGCCTTATAATTGCATCTCAAAGTCCTTGGGGCGGGGGTGAGGGCGGGAGCGGAGGGCCTCTTCCCCAAATCAGCACTTTGGGTCCCAACACCCTTCCTCTCCCTTCTCTCTGACTTGCTTAGCGTCTGCTTTGTCACCTAAATCCACAGCATCATTGGCTTGGGAGGGGAAAGAACGAGACGGAGTCCCAGAGTCCCTCCTTCTGAGGGCCAGGCACTGTGCTAGGTACTTTGGAAAGTAGGTGCCCTCCTATATGTAGAGAATGAGTTAATGTTCTGTCTTGCATTTCTTTCAGTTCAAAGAAAGCATTTATCTTTCTAACCAATGCCTTGAAAAGATAATCTTATAAAAATTCGCAAAACATAGACTTGCCACAGCAGGAATACACTTACTTTAACAATAATAGCACGTGCATGACAAAGGTCAGTGGGTTTTTATTTAAATTATGGTGTGGATTGTTTATCCTTTGATCAACCTGAAAGAAAATGAAGAGTTAAAAATATGTGAAGTACATTATCTTTTCTTTCACAGATGAATTCACTGAGTGATTTGAGTTGTACTCAAACCTGTGATCCCAGTTTACAAAGATTACGTTAGTATGATTTCATTATGCTCAAAAGCCAGAATGAAGCAACAGCAGTATTTAAAAATACGCACACACGTATGTTCACATGCTTCAGAAATGTTGCTTAGGGAGATTTTGGCAGCTGAATTACAAGTACTTAAAAAAAGAAAATTTGTATCATCTTCTTCCTGCCTTATTTTTTATAATGAATTGTGATTTGAAACTAAATGAAAATGAGCCAGGCATACTAAAAGATCTCGGTTACAAATTAAGAATTTTGTTTTATCTTAAGCAAAATAAGAGATTAAATTGAAGAAAAACAGGCCGATGTTAGCTTGCTTTTCTGTTAACCTGTACCAAGAACAAAGAAGGTGGGAGAAGGCAGTCCACATTTATGATGTCTGTAGGTAACATGGGGAAAACGCTATCTGTTTATGTTTTGGAAAATAAGAAAAAGTGGAGTCCTATTTATGTAGGAGTTTATATTTAGAAGTTTTTCTCAAAGCAATTTCAATTGTATCTATGAGGTGCTTTTTACATTATCTCATTGTGTGTTTTAAGTGCCTTTTTATATTACACTAAGTGTGAACTTCTAGGCATTTTTAAGAGTTTATGAAGACCAAGTGGCATTGTATTTTTATAACCTCATTAAGAAAACTAAGAAATGAAATGTCGTACTGATTTTTACTTTTTTTAATGCTGCAAACAATAAAGACATTTTACCTATATAAAAAAAAGAAAGTAGGTGCCCTATAGACAGAGCAGGTGCTTTACTTACACAATAAATACTCAAACCCATCTGTCTGCCCTCTACCCCCTCCTCCCACAGGTACTCATGACACCTGACGGTGCCCCAGGTCCTGGGTTAAGTGCTTCCCACACACAGTCTCAATTAAATCTCACCACTTTCCTAGGAGGCAGGGACACTCTTTATCCTTATGCTACAACCGAAGAAAGCAAGACTCGGGGAAAGGACGCGATTTGTCCCGGGCCACACAGCTGGAAGTAGAGCTGGGCTTCACCCCAGGGCTGTCGGACACTGTTGAATTTATTGTCCTATCAACTCCATAGTCTCATTTTATAGGGGAGGAAACGGAGATGTCCTGAAGAAAACGTTGTCCCATGGTGTCTAGGGGTGGGACAGCCCTAGCGTGTGGCTATTGCTTGAGCCCAAGAGCTCCCTGGCCACAGGGCTGGTGTTTGTCTTACAGGCCAACACCAACACAGACCTAAGGCTGACAGCTGCCAACGGAGCCCTCCAGAGACACCGGGTGCTGCTGGGAGTGACAGACACGGTGGAAGGCTGCCAGAGCGTGATTCAGGTACCGTGTCTCAGAGTGACCTCTCCTTGAGGGCCCATTTGTGGCTGGGCTGATGGGGAGAGGTGGCCCCCTGTTCTCCCAGCCTGAACAGTGTCTCCCAAAGCCTGCTAATGAGACGGTATCGGCAGCCCTTCCCTTCCTCCCTGCGCCAGTGTTCCTTCCTGGAGAGGCTCTTCTCTGAAGGGTAACCAGCCTCGAACCTCCACGGGGCTGGAAGGGAAGCTCAGAGACCATCTAAGCCTCACTCCTCATTCAGCATCTATTCAGCAAACAGATGGGGCCTCCTGTGTGCCAAGCACTGAGGGACCCATGCAAGGCCCCTGGAGAGGCAGGTCAGACCTTGAAGGCACTGTTTGCCTGGCTCAGTTGTTTTCTTTGCCCTCAGGGCAGTGGGGAGATCTTAAGTGACTAATATGAGGTCACACAGTGTGTCTGGGACACATCTGAGGCTAGATGAGCCCAGATCTCCCGAACGTGGCTGGGATCTCCAGGTGAGATTGCTGAATCTCCTCTGTACCACATCTGCTTTCTCACCAGTCATTGCCCCTTGCCTGGCGTGAATCCAGGGGTGGGCGTGTGGCTAGGACCTGGGAAGAAGCTCTTTGTGCGCATGACCTGTTCATCCTACAGATATTTACCGAGAGCCTAGTGTGTGCCAGGCACTGTTCTAGGTACTGAGGCTGCAGAAGAGAACAGACATATGCAGATCCACATGTTTTTGGAGCCTAGCACACCTGAGGTGGTGTAGGATGTACCTACATCCTACTGGTGTACCCCCCTGGTGTAGGGGATCTCGTGTGGCACCAGGGGGGTGAACTTGAGGGCATCACAAGATTTCTGGCAATTCAAATGTGACATTGGCGACTGGGAGCTCCTTGAATCGGGGAGCCCTTTCAGCCTCATTTGTCTCCGAATCCTCTTTCTGGATTGGCCCATGGGTGACTTGGCAAGTGTTAGCTGAAGGCATGGAGGGTGGATGCCTCGTGAAAGGACGCGTCTTCTAAAATGGTTGGGTTCTTTTGGTTTCACAGTAGTATCTTGGGATGAGGTGATACAATATCTGGATTAAAAAGAAAAACCATTGGGGATGGTGTGGGGTGGGGAATGGAGGTGTCTGGGATGAGTAATGGGAGGGGGTAGAGAGGAGACGAGTAGCCATGAAGTGATAACCATTGAAACAAGATGGTGGGTAGCTGGAAGTTTAATGACTTTATTTGCTCTACTTGTGTATGTGTTTGAAAATTTTCATGATAAAAAGTAGAAAATTCATTTTAAAAATGTTCCTGTGGGGATGAGACAGCTGGAGAGACTAGTCTGCAAGAGGGATGTGCCCGTGGGTCTCCTGGGTCAGTCACTGGGAGGCCTAGGATCCAGAGGAAGTGGTGAGTGAATGGAGGTGTGAGGCGTGGCTGCCAGTTTCTTGCAGATTTGGGTTGTGATGTGTGGCAGGTGTGGACCTGGCAAGATGATGTAATGTGTGAACATGGAGGATTTCGGCCTGGCTAAGTTTAGTCGGGGCTTCTGGGGCCTGTTGAGGTTGTGGAGGAAGGGGAGGTAATTGTGAGGTGAGGACTTCGTACCCCACTCCCCTCCCCTGCAGAGCACCCAACTTGATTACCTCTGATCTGGCTGTAGGCAGTGGGGGTGACTCATTTGCATGTTGGATTCCAGACAGAAGGGCACCCGGCCCCTGAAGATGAAGCTGGTAGCCCTGGATGGATACATGACATCCAGGATGCTTTGGAGTCTGTCAGATGCTTAGTGACTTGTGGGAGATGGGGCTGCAGCCATTTTGAACAGGGTTCTCACACGAAGCCATTTTTCTACCAGCCGTACAATGCAGACTTCTTCATGTTTGGGGGTTCTGGGAGAGAACAGAATGGCCTGTTTCCGCCAGAGGCTGGAATAAATCCAGCGGTCCTCAGGTAGGGTGGGCCTCCGGCGAGGAGGCAGGAGGTAGAAGGTGGTTCCAGCAACAGAGAGTTCAAGGTCGGGCTGGCTTTGAGCCTCAGTCATCATGGCTCCTTTTCTCCTCAGCTCTGGTTTGTCTACTTTGACCTGGAGAACTGTGTGCAGTTTTTGTCTGATCATGTTCGAGAAATGAAGACTAACCAAGAGGTAAGATACTTTAAGTGAAAAAACAAACAACGTAAACCAGGAGGCCAAATTGTATAGATGGCATGACCTCAAAGTTGGAAAAATGTCTTGGGGAAAGGTACTTAGAAGGAAGAACACTTATGTGGAATCAGTGGTGGTTTTGCCTAAGGAATTAAGTCCGTTTAGCTAATCGCATTTTAAATAATCTCCGTTTTAACTGATTGTGTTTTCCACATTTCATATAGTGAGCATATATTTATAATAATAATAATAATAATAATAATAATAATAATAATAATAAAGATCCTGACAGAGGAAAATACCCCATATTTAGACAACTTTCACTGTTCAAAATGACTTCCTACCATTTATGAAGAAGATCAGGGAGCTCTTGCTCTGATTCCACAGATGAGGAAACTGAGGCTCTGAGAAGTCCTGTCACTACTCTTGGATGGTCACGGGGCTGGTTGACGATGCCCGGTTTGTCCCCCACCTCTCCTGTCTCCGAGCCTGGGATCAGCCTTTTCCTGGGCCCTGGAAGTACTGTAGTCAGCCTTGAAATCAGAATTGTGGTTTAGCCTTGAACCTGGCCCATTAGCTCCTTATATGGCTTTGGGCAAGGCCTTTGAGCTGCAGTTTGCATATATATATTATTATTTATATTGCGTATATAATATATTGCGTATCTGCAATATATAGATAAAGATACCCATGTCTCAGGCTGCTTTGAGGAGCATTTGAGAGCATGGAAGGAAAAGTGCTTTAGAAGCTATTACGGACTGTACTTTTGTAGGGAATTACTTGATCTTTCTCATGTGGTCCAGTTCCACATTCTCCCGAGTCAGCGTCTGAGTCTGTAGAAGGTCCGTCTGTCTTTTGTGGGTCTGCAGCTCAGGGCAGGACTCGGCATCCTATGTGCTACCCAACTTATGACACCACCCGAGCCCCCTCTCTATTTCCTTTGCAGTCCTTGCTGAGAAACAGATTGAGCCAGCTCTGTGTTGTCATGGAGACTGGGGTGAGCCCCACGACAGTGGCAGAGGGGCCTGAGGACCTGCTGGAGGAAGCTCCTCTCCTGCCCAGCAGTCCTCATCCCATGGAGAGTCCGCTCATGCAGACCGAGCTTCTCCAGCTGGTTCCCGACGCTGAGCCGGAGGTAACAGGCGCCTGGGTTAGACAGGGCCACCTTCTCTCACGGGGTACTTGCATAGAGTCCGTGTGGGAGCCTCAAGTTGTAGATTCCATGGAACATGGCTTTACTGAGTTGGTAGAGACCCTACAAATCTTCCAGCCTACTAGTTTCCAATATTTTTTCCCCTCACCCCAGCACTTTTAAAAATAGTTTATAGGAGTCATTTTCTACTTACTGGAGTATTTCCTGTATTTAAATATCTTGGGTATTCTTTTTGGTAGTTCTATTAGATGTGTAGTTGCATGTTGATAGATCACAGCCCACCTAACCATGAACATGTAGATGAAAGTTTAGGTCATTTTTTAATCTATTAATTTATCATCTACCTACTATCTACTCAAATTGCAATTGGATATTTAAATATTACATGCATCTCTGTTGAAGTCTAGTTCCTCTAGCCCCAGAGTTCTGTTGGGTCCCACCACCTAAGCTGTCTGTTGGGTTTCGCCAAGTGTTGGTAGACCAGAAATCCTGATGATATGGTTTGCAGCTTGTGCTACCATCTTCTCGCCATGAGGACAGACCCACTGGGGGACATGCAGCGACGGGGGCCCTTGGGAATGGTGTGCTGTAGGACAGCACTTGTATTTTCTTTTAACCTGACAGATTTGGGTATTAAAGGTCCAAACCAGCCCAGACTTGCCCTTTTGCATTGATGGGGAGTGAGGGGGCCTGCAGATAGGACTGTTACAAGAGAAAATGATAAATATTAATGTCGTCACTTGAATCCTACTGCCTTTTTTTCTAAAGAGCAGAAAAGATTGATAAGGTCACGCACTTTTTTGTGGCATGCATGTCTGGGTTTATGGAAAATAGCCTATTAAATAGGATGGGTCTTTTAAATTATTTTACAAATTCATTCAAACCAATGGTTATACAATTTCCTGTCATGAATATCAAATTCCAGTGTGTGTGCACATGTTTTTAAAGTAGCTGCCCTTATAACTTAGAGAAAATATAATCAGGGCCCACGTCTCAGCGTGGGCCATACTGTTGTATGGAAACCAGTGCCTGTGAAAGATGGCGAAACAGCTCTAATGACCTCTTACATTTTAACAACTTTTCATATTGCATAAAATTCTTTAGCATACCTTCTGAGATTAGAGATTATTTTGTTCTTTTATGATGGATGAAATAAGCCTCTTAAGAAGTCAATGACTTGCCCAAGGTCACAGAGCAAAAGAGAATGTGGCAAAGCCAAGGGCAGAAGCCAGATTACTGATTCTAAGCAGGCCAGTTTTCTTGCCACAGTTCTTTGCTTCTTATATTATTGAGTTTAGAGTAAATGGGCAAGAAGACTGATCTGAATTAGTGAGTGGTAGGCTCATTTGAAGAATTTTCAGTATTTTCTAGCACAAAGGATACCACTGATCCTACAGTGCTAGGTGGGATTTTTGCTTTTTTGAATAATGACCATGGTAATGCTGTTGATGACATTTATTGAGCACTAGGTACTAGGCTTTCTATCCATTAGTTCCTTTAATCCTCACCCCAGCCTAACCCTTCTTTTACTGATGAAGAAATGGGCTTAGCAAGGAGAAGTGACTTGCTCAGGGTCCGTCACCAGGTGGCTGAGCTGAAATTTCCACTTGGCTTTTTTGATTTGAAAGCCTGTTCTTACTTTTTTTGTTTGTTTGTTTTTTAGCTGAGCCATCCTGCTACCTGTTGGCAGCTCAGTGGCTGCTCAGCTCGGGCTGGACTCGAACCGCTGTTGCTCAGAGCTCAAACTCTTGAGCGAGCTCTTAACCAACTGAGCCACTCGGCCGGCCACTTGAAAGCCTGTTCTTAATCACTAACTTAACCGACATAAATAGCCTGCAGTAACCCACACTTGATTTTATTACATTCAGACTGGACACAGTCTGTATTATGAAGACCCTCAATGCCACATGTAAGGAATTGAAGCCTTTTCGATGGAATTCCAGCTGCCAGACCAGTGGACAGACCTTAGAGACCAAATGTATTCCTAAGAACATGCGTTAAATCTAATTTCTAAAGTTCTTTATTTTATTCTTTTTTTACTGTTTAATGTCTTTCATTACAGTGAAATATACATAAAAATAGCCGTTTTTAAGTATACGATTCAGTGGCATTAAGTACATTCACAGTGTTGTGCAGCCATCACCACCGTCCAGCTGCAGAACTTTCTCATCTCATCTTGAAACTCTTATACCCCTTAAACATCAACTCCTCCTTTCCCAGCCCCTGGAAAGCACCATTCTATGTTCTTTCTCTGTGAATTAATGCTCTAGGTTCCTCACATAAGTGGAATCATACAGTATTTTTCTTTTTGTGATGAATCCCGTTTTTATAAGCAAACTCTTAACATAGCAGGAGCACTTGTCTGAAGGAATCCAGCAGGTTCCTTGTGTGAATTGAAGAGTCCTGCCCTGCTGCCCACCTTCATTCACTAGTGATTTCCTTCAAGTGCATTACCTTGACCTCATGCACTCTACAGGCTCACAGACATTGGAAATTGGAAAAAGTGTGTGTGTGGTGGGGGGTGCAGGGGGGAGATTGGCTAGTATAAGTCAATGCTAATTTCTCTAGTACTTTGAGGCTCCATAGCTTTTTTGTGTATATTATTATCGCCTATCGGTAGTTTGGTTGCCCACCTCGGAAATGAGGAAACTGAGGCTACAGGATTCCCCACAGAGTCAACTGCAGAGCTGGGGTTCCAGACCAGGCTTCTTCCAAGGGCCCCAGGTGAGGGCCTGGCTGGGTTCTTCCCCGTGAGCATGGCTGCCGGTCCAGGGGCGTGAGGACTGTCTAGCTTCCCCTTGTGTGTTAGCTGCATCTCTGTGGCCCTCACTCTGCTTTCGTGCCTCTTCTAGGAAATGGCCCAGCAGCTGCTGGCAGTGTTTGGTGGCTATTACATCCGGCTCCTGGTGACCTCCCAGCTCCCCCAGGTAGCGGGGACACGACACACGGACTCTCCAAGGGTTCCATGCCCCTGCCAGCTCATAGAAGCCCACATCCTGGGCACGGGGTGCTGCCCGTTCCTGGCCAGGTGACCTAGGGACAAAGGTTCTCATCTCCCTTCAAGACAGAAGGTGAGAAGTCAAGG